AAAAAAAAAAAAAAAAAAAAAAAAAAAAAAAAGAAGAATATGAACTACAAATAGTTAGAAGAACAAAAAAAAAAAGCAGGAAAATTTGCCTTTTTTTCTTCAAATGTTAATCAAAGTCACTGAAGATTTGTCTATTGAAAGCGACAATAGGCCACTGCAAATATAATAGATTTTTGCCCCCCATCTCTAATTCGCTTTTCGATTGTTTCTGGTAAACTTTAATTGAAAAGGTTAAAATAAACAATCTTTAAGATTTGGCGCTTTGAAATCAATACTGCCGATACACTTACCATTGTTTGAACAGTTTTCAATAAACGACAGCCGAAAAAAACTCACCGGTATGGTGATTCCGGCGTATGAGTGGAAGCCACATAAAGTATGTCGTTGTCGTCGACAAGTGCTACACAAGATGAGTTGTTGTCATTTGGTACCACAGGTACTGAACCATTCAAAATGACTTCTAAGGTCAACGGATGTCTCATCTGACAAATTCCTTGTTTCAACGAACCACACTCAAGGATTCCGTTATTTCTGGTTACATGTAACAGGCGACTAATATAGTTTTGTTTTGTTCGTTTAGCATTTTTTAGACAAGAAATACCATCATAGTTACACAGTACACTGTCGTATTGTGGTCCGGTAACTAAGCTTGATAGCACTTTTAGATCACCGGTTAGGTTGAGACAACTCAGATGATTCACAGATGCTACATAAGCCTGAAATCTGATGCCCATTCATTCTTTTTTCAGTCTTCCTTTGATCTGATGCCTCAATTTTTAGAAAAACTGTTTTGATAAGATCAAAATTGATGTTATCAATTCATTGTTAACCATGACAACAATTTGTTAAAAATGAAGCTCTACTGAAATGATTATTAAATGTTTGAAAACATATGATAAACGAATTGCAAAATTTTTTATTGGAAAGCAAAACAATTTCAAACTCTCTTCCTCAGAGTATTCTTTTAATTTGCTGCAAAAACTGAAAAGCTTCATTGATATTTGTTTACTCGAAAAATTCTTTAATTTCTATCCTACTTTTTTCCACTTAATTACACCGTAATTTTTGAAAATAAATTGCCAGAAGAATTTGATATGCCGACCAAATCGATTCAGCAAGAAACAGAAGGAAGTCAAAGCCAAATGGGTTTTGTAACTGTTTAATTATTACCAAATATTTGGTCGGCCAACTTTCAACCGTGTTTTAGACGATACTGAGTACAAAAAAAACTTCAGCATCCCTTTGAACTGTTTTTTTGTTGTTTGGCGGAGCTCTTAGTGTTTCTCATAAGATGATTCAATTAAAAATTTTTGACTACAAAAATTAGCACCTTAGCGTCGTGAACGTCAACTGCGGTGATATCGGTCCGAAGATCCAACGACGAAATTAGACGTAGTGCGGCCGTAGTGGCCAACAAAGATGCCAATGCGATAATAATGCGCATTTGAGCATCCTAAAAATGAAAAAAAAGCCAGTAAATAAACTTATGATTTATGTTCATTTGGACTAACGTTTTTTTCCCCATTTTGGCCTTCATTTCTCCGTATACAGCAAGCAAAAAAAAATAAAAATATTAAAAAAAAAGAAATTTATGCAAAAATTTATCAACTCGACATCAATGGTATGGCGCAATAATGTAAAATGTCTGAATTCAACCCCACACCGCCAAAAATGACAGATAGGTTTTATTCGTCGTTAATTTCAGAAACTGTTTGACCCCTGTCTTTTCTCTATCCTACTGCTTAAGTTCAAAACTTATTCACACGATGATCAGACTAGTTGCTTACTGACTAAAATTACATTAAACAGATAAAAATCCTTAGAATAACAAGGGTTTTCAGTTTCGCTTTCACTTGTTCTTTTTGCTCCGATTCTACCGCCAAAGTTCTCAGCCAATAACCCATTAAAATAGAAAATAATTTACAAAGGACTTTTCTTTACCGAACCTCCTTCTTCCTCAGTCATCCCCAAAACTTAAACTGGTACTGCTACTAATTAGCACCGCCACAGCCACCAAAAATAATAACACAAAGAAACATACGTAGCAGTGTCAACTAAAATGAATTCCTGTAAAT